GGAGGAGGAGGAGGAGGAGGGGGAGGGGGAGGAGGAGGAGGAGGAGGAGGAGGAGGGAGAGGAGGAGGAGGAGGAAGAGGAGGAGAAGGAGGAGGAGGAGGAGGAGGAGGAGATGGTGGGGGGTTTTCGACGTGCCCTCGCCCCTTCTGTTCTCTTCTCGGACATGGAAGGCTGGGATGAGGTGCGGGGTATGGTTGAGGGAGGAGAAGGAAGGGATTTGAAGAGTGCGGTGGGGGGGGCGCTGGTCACGCGGGACCAGCACGGCAATCCTTCAGAAGGTGGAGTTGTGCGCAGTCGATTTGCGCGCTGCTGGCGCAACCGTGTACACATTGCGCGGTGGAGTCGCATTAGAATATGGGTATGACGTCGGCCTTCCAAACTGAGGCAACCGCAGTGCATTGGGCAGCAAATCTTTGATGAGTGCTTAGTAGGGCGCGGGCCTCATCGAACTTTGTGCGTGCAGTTACATCGCGGTGTCACGCTTCTTGTGTCACTTGCGTGGGACGCTACGTGTCCGATAGTCGAGGTGGGCCGTATCATCGTGACTATTGCTTCTGCTGTCAGCCCCGCCCAGGATCGATATGAGCCTGCCAGGGCCATGACACACTTATTCCATGACCTGAGCAAGTGCGCGACAGCACTGGCGGACGTACGAACGAAATGAAGAGGGAGCAGGGAAGTTATCACTCGCGCGTTCCAGAGCCTGCGGCATGATCAAGGTTGCGCAGAAGTTGCAGCAAAATCAGGTGAGAGGGAGACGGGAGAGAAGAGCGTTGCAGGGAGGAAGAGTGAGGAAGGACGGGGCAGAGAGCAGGAAGGAGGGAGCAGGCAGGAGCGAGAATTGAAGATGGTGGAGGGAGCGGGGGAGGAGGAGGAGGAGGAGGCGGAGGAGGAGGAGGAGGAGGCGGAGGAGGCGGAGGAGGAGGCAGGGAAGGAGGAGCAGCAGCAGCAGGAGGAGGGAGAGAGGAGTGTGGGTGCCCTCCTGCCTGCGGCAGGCAGTTCCTCGCCATGCGCGCGCTGGCACCGGGTCGCCGGGGGGCGCCAGCCTGGAGGGTGGCTGGGCGGCCTGGACGGGCTGGTCCTCATTCGTCATCCCTCCTCCTTCCTGGTCGTCCTCCATCCTCCTCCTCACCCACTCCCCCTACAGTGGGGGCGCGTGCCAAGAAACCATGTGCTTTTCGTCAGGGTATCCTGGGTTTCTTCGCTCCGCCAGCGGCGCGGTGACTTCCCGCAGCCGTTGAAGAAGCTGCTGCGTTCAGGGCGCCGGACTCCCCTCCGGCGCACCTCGCGCGCGAATTATCAGGGTTGGGTTTCTTGCGAGGGTTTCTTGCGGCCGCGCCCTCACTGTATCCAATCTTCTTAGAAGCAGCTTCCTCCTGTCGCACCACCAGACGCATAGCATGGCCTCTTCATGCCGTCTCCAGCGCCGAGCAGCGCCGATTAGCGTCTGGGAGTCGATGAGATAGCGCCGGTTTACCGTCGGTTAGTGTCGATTCGCGTTGATTCAGCGTCGATGTCGCGTCGATTTGCGTCGATCAGCGTCGATTCGCACGAGCCGACAAGATGGTCTGGGAGGCTCCCATGAGTTGCCATAAAACCTCTGTTTTCTGTGAGTCCATGCACCTCTCTGGTATGCTGGCCCAGCTTGTCCTGGTGTGCTTCCTGGGCATTTCGGGCCCCCCCCAGTATATTTGACAGCGTGGGCGATGACGCTCAGTCGTCCCAGCGCACGCCGATCAAACTTTTGCCCGCACTCTGGCAAGGCTGGGGTCGTATGGCGAGAGCCCAAAAGGGCTGGTGGGATTCGGCCTCCCCCTCCCCTAGAGTTCTCCCAGATGGTGTCGGAGTAGATGGGTTCGGAGGATCGCGCCGCATCGTCGATGCATCACCGATCCATTGGCGATTCACCGGCGACGTTGGCCAGGAGAAATTGGGCTCCACATCGAGCCTCATCGCCGATGCATCGGTGATGCGGCGCGATCCTCCGACCCCATCTTCGGCGACGAGCGAGGGGGGGGAAGTGAGGAGGGGCGGGCCTTCTCAGAAGGCTCAGAAGTCCTCCGACCTCCTGAGACGCTTCCGGAGCCATCCCCGGAGACCCAGAAAGCTTCTCAGGAGGCGCGAGGGCTTTCGAGGAGCCCCGCCGCCTTTTGAGAAGGCCTTCTCCTTCTCGCTTTCCCCCAGGCTCGCAGCCGCATTTGGTTTTTGATTCATGACTCGGGTCTCTGGCTGGCGTTCGGGACGATCTGGGCACCCCTGAAACGCCCTCGGCAAGGCGCAGCTGCTAGCAAGCATCCCGAGGCTGGAAAACCGCCGAGAGCCGACGAAAATGTCCGAACGCCTCGAGCCTCGGGCCGGATTTCCCCCGGGCTCGCCGCCGCCGTCTGCTCGAACCTCCATCTGGGAGGGGGAGGGGGAGGGGGAGGAGGAGGAGAAGGAGGAGGAGGAGGAGGAGGAGGAGGGGGTAGGAGGAGGAGGAGGAGGAGGAGGAGGAGGAGGAGGTGGAGGAGGGGAGAGGAGGAGGAGGAGGAGGAGAGGAGGAGCAGCAGGGCAAGGAGCAGGAGGAGCAGGAGCAGGAGCAGAAGCAGGAGGAGCTGGGGTGATGGCCGGGAGGAGGAGGAACAGGTGGAGGAGGAGGAAGAGGGGAGTAAGGAGGAGGAGGAGGAGGAGGAGCAGCATGAGCAGGAGCAGGAGCAGGAGCAGGAGGAGCAGGAGATGGCGGGAGGAGGAGGAGGAGGAGGAGGAGGAGGAGGAGGACGAGGAGGACGAGGACGAGGACGAGGAGGAGGAGGAGGAGGAGGAGGAGGAGGAGGAGAAGGCCTTCCCAGAAGGCGGCGGGGCCTCTCAGAAGCCCTCGCGCCTTCCGAGAAATGTTCTGAGTCTTCGGGGAAGGCTCAGGAAACTTCTCAGGAGGTCGGGCATGTCCCCCTACAGGCAGGTGTTGAGCGGCAAATTCCACACAGTTAGAACACTATCCCCAAATAGCCAAACATAATCCAAAGCTCGTTCCCCGACTATGTGGTGCCTGTTTCTGACGACTCATCCTCTAGAGGGGCAGGCCCGAACGCCGCACTGGCGGCTGGTGCCTCATCCAGCAAACGTCCGCCAGGGCACCGCCAGCCCGACAGGGCGTCTCGTTCCGCTGGCCCTGGGCACTCCGCCGCCCGCGCCCGGGGCGCGGGCGGCACGACGTGGCATGGCGGCACGCGGCAAGGGTCGACTTACACGCAAGAGCCGCCTCTCGCTGGAGCGAGTCGGCCCCGAGCAGAGGGGCGTGGGGGGAGGGGGGGAGGGCTTCTAGATGTAAGGCCGGGCATCGGGAGGAGGAGGTGGGAGGGGTAGGTGGATGGGGGGCGGAGGAGGAGGAGGAGAGAAGGAGGGAGGAGGAGAGGAGGAGGAGCGAGGAGGAGGAGGTGGAGGAGGAGGAGGAGGAGCAGGAGGAGGAGGAAGAGGAGGAGGAGGAGCAGGATGAGGAGGAGGACGAGGAGGAGGAGGAGGAAGAGGAGGAGGAACAATAGCGCGGCAGGCTCGTTCCTTACGTTGGTCAACGCAAAAGGAGGAGTAACGCCTTCTGTTCAGCTATCATGGGGTTTGTTTCTGTAGTCTTGGGGCTGACTGGGTCTTCTGTGGGGCAGTCTTGGGGGTCCCGTTGGGCTCTTGAAATGTCTGGGCGGTTAATTGGGGCCGTCGTGGGGCCGTCCTGGCTGTCTGGGGTGTATTTTGGGGCCGCCGTGGAGTCTGTGTGGGCAGTCTTGAAGCCGTCTTGGGCGGTCTTTTGAAGGCGTTGTGGGTCATCATGGGGGCATCTTGGACCATCTCTGCCTTGTGGGTAGCTGGCTTGGACAGGATCGGCAGCCATTCTGGGCACTTTGAAAACGCCTAGGAGAGCGCCAGGGCGCCGTCTGGTAGCCCTGGATGCCTCGGGAAGGGGGATTTTTCTTGGGGGGCATTGGGCCATCGCGAGTCCTTTTCTGTCATTCTTGGACACTTTTGGGGACACATGTGGCCGTCTTGGGGCCATCCTGGAGGTCTGCTGGGCCGTCTGGAGCCGACAGACACCCGAACGGTGAGAACGCTAAAACCAGGCAAACACCGCAGCCATCTTACGCATCTGGGTTTCTTCGGGCCTTGTTGGGGGGTCTTTTGGTGGCCATGTGTGGCTCTGATGGAGGCGTCTTGGACCATTCTGAAACCGTGATGGACCGCCTTGGGCCCCCTCTTGGGCCGTCCGCGAGGCATCTGGGCCATCCTGGTTGCCTTGGTTGCGTGCCTGAGCCGTCTTGACAGCTTGGGACGCGAACGCACATCTTTTCTACGAGGTCGCGCGGTCTCGGGGGCGCGGCTCTGTACTCTCTACGAGCGGCGATGCACGCGGGGGTCTGCGACTCAGGGGGCGGGCCTCTGTTCCGAGCGCAGAACAGGAAACCTTACGGGGCAAGGCTTGGCATGCTGCCGCGCCTCGGCGTGCCACCGTGGGGGGGCGGCGACGGAGGGACCTGCCAGGGGATCTCTCCTCGACTGCAGGCAGCCTCCGCGCGGAGGGGGGCGGGAGCTTGGCACCCAGACCGGGCAGGGCGACTGCTGCAGGGCTCGTTTCGATTCCTCCGATTCGATTCGATTCGATGTCGATGGATTCCGCTTCCGATTCGATCCGATTTCGGATTCCGATTTGGATTCCGATTCCTCACTGAGGCCTTATTACTTTGCCGATATCCGCCGATTCGACTCCTCCCGACTCGGGGCTCTCCTGCGGCTGGCAGCCCGGCAGGCCCGGGGCCCCGCTGGATCCGCCGCCCTCCGGCGGGTGTGCGGGCGGGGGCCGCCGCCATAGCCGTGGTGGTCCTGCGCGGATGGCTCGGGTCGGGCGAAAGGGGGGGATTGGGAAAGGGGGGGTTACGAAATTTGCTGCATGCAGCTGGTTTCGGCCTCACCGAGGGGCCCATTCCTCGATACATGGTCGCCTCCGGCGCCGGGAGGCGCCGGGAAAATCAGCTACGCGAGCTGATTCTCAAACCCCCCCTTTGCTATCCCCCCCTTTCGCCCGACCCGAATGGCCGCAGAACATGCGCGCTGGAAAAAAAAACGTAGGGGGGGGGGGTCGGGACGGGGGGGAAGTTGCCGAAGGGGAAGGAGCCCGCATCGCAAGGAGGGGTTAGCCTTCCCAAGGGTGCCCTTGCATCCCTGCCTCCCCTGTCCCCCATGCCCGGCCGCTCTCCTTGGCCGCGCCCCGCTCGAGGAGCTGCGGGCTGGGCGTCCGAGGCCCCTTTCGTCCTCATCGTGCGTCCTTCTGATACGGGCCGACTGCATGTCCCGGAGCGCACACAAGCCCTAACGATACTCACGGCGCGCGTGAAGCGTGCGGCCGTCGTTGAGGCAAGAGGCGGCGAGGCGAGTGCCTCGTCGTCGTCGCCGCCGCCGCCGCCGCCCTCGCGGCCAGCGACGTACCCATCTCGAGATGGGGACCCTCAGGTCTGTCGTCCTTCGTTTGACGGGTCAATTGTCCACCACCACTACCAGAAGTAGGACGTGGAGAAGGGAAGATGGGGAGGTCCTCCGCCTCCTCCTCCTCCTCCTCCTCCTCCTCCTCCTCTTCCCTCGCCTACCTATGGTAGTGGTGGTGGAAAATCGGCCCATCATCTTTCGCCGTCTGGGGCGCTCTCGCCGTGACGGCTGAATTTCTCACACCGGTCTGGCCAGAGCGCACCCCCAGGAGAGGTCCGGGCGGGCGACTTTGAGAGGTGCTGTCGGACGGGGATAACTCCGCTCCGGAGCGTCCCGGAACGCTCGCTCCGAGAAGGCCGCGGCGCTCGAGAGATCCTCCAAAGCCGCCTGATCTCGGAGATTCTCGATTCATCCCGCCCGACATTCTATTCGCCCCAGCTTCGTCTCGCGTGCCGCCAGCTGCCCTCCCTCCTTCCTCTCTCTCTCTCTCTCTCTATTCCCCTCTCCGCCCCTCTGGACACGTTGGGGCCGCCTCCACGCTCTCCCCCCCTCCCGATGCCCCCTCTCCTCCCTCCTCTCTGCCCCTCCCTCTCTCCCCCCGAATCCCCGACCGATGCCCCCTTCCCCCCCCTCCCCCCCCTCCTTCTTTCTCTCCCCACGTCCCACCCTCTCTCCTCCTCGCCCCTCCTGCCCCCCCCCCCTCCCTCCCTCCTCCTCGCCCCTCCCCCCCCCTCCTCGCCCCTCCCCCCCCTCCCCTCCACCCCCCCTCTCCTCTCGCTCCTCCTGCCCCCCCCCCCTCCCCCCCTCTGTGCTCCTGCCTCTCCTCCCCGCCCGCTCCCGCCGCCGCAGCCCTTTCTGGCGCAGGGGCCCCCCGGGATCCCCCCACTTTTTGTGCCTCGGAGGGGCGCGCCGCGCTGGCGTCGGAGTCGTCCCCGGGATGGCGTGCGGCCGCGGGAAGGCGGCGCCAGTCTCAAGTCGGGCGTGTCCCCCTGCAGGGGGATCTTCGAGGAAAAAATTAAGATACCCCCAAAAATAGTCAAAGGATGATCCAAAAATAGTCTGGGAATACCCCCAAAATAGTCAAACAAATCGTCGGGGCACGATTTTGGTACTGTTTTCGTTTTTTTTTTGGTTGGGGGGATCTTTTTGGTGTCCTGTGCCTCGCGACACGTGCCTTCTCACACTCCTATGGCGACGTGGCCCTCGGAAGGGTCTTGCGTCCTCTCGTGTGTCCTGTCCGATCAAGCCCGACTGTAAGTCGGGCGTGCCCCCCTGCAGGGGGATCTTCGACGAAAAATTTAAGATACCCCAGAAATAGTCAAACAATGATCCAAACACATTCTGGGGACTATGCTTTGAGTAATGTTTTTACCTTTTTGGGGTATGTTGGGGGTATTTGTTTTTCATGTTTCGTCGAAAATCTCCCTGTATGGGGGACAGGCCCGACTTAACAACCGTTAGTCGGAGGTTGATCGACCTCCTATCTTGACGCGTCGATTAAGGGATTGGCCGTTTTCGGTTCGCGAGAGGGCGTCGCGGCCGTCACTTTTGCGGGTCCAGGTCCGTCGGTTTCGGTCCTTGGCCGTTTTCACTAAGTGGAGGTTTACTAAAGGGAGGTTTGTCCGCCGCCGGGTCAAGTCGGGTACGTTCCTCTGCAGGAGGAATACCCCCCAAATAGTCAAACAATTCGTCGGGGCACGATTTTGGGACTATTTTCGTTTTTTCCTTGGTTGGGGGGATCTTTTTTTTGAACTGAGGTGGATCGACCTCCTACCCTGACGCGTCGATTAAGGGATTGGCCGTCTTCGGTTCGCGAGAGGGCGTCGCGGCCGTCACTTTTGCGGGTCCAGGTCCGTCGGTTTCGGTCCTTGGCCGTTTTCACTAAGTGGAGGTTTACTAAAGGGAGGTTTGTCCGCCGCCGGGTCAAGTCGGGTACGTTCCTCTGCAGGAGGAATATCCCCCAAATAGTCAAACAATTCGTCGGGGCACGATTTTGAGACTATTTTTTTTTTGGTTGGGGGGATATTTTTTTTCAAACTGAGTATGATAGACCTCCTTTCCTGACGCGTCGATTAAGGGATTGGCCGTTTTCGGTTCGCGAGAGGGCGTCGCGGCCGTCACTTTTGCGGGTCCAGGTCCGTCGGTTTCGGTCCTTGGCCGTTTTCACTAAGTGGAGGTTTATTAAAGGGAGGTTTGTCCGCCGCCGGGTCAAGTCGGGTACGTCCCTCTGCAGGAGGAATATCCCCCAAATAGTCAAACAATTCGTCGGGGCACGATTTTGGGACTATTTTCGTTTTTTCCTTGGTTGGGGGGATCTTTTTTTGAACTGAGGTGGATCGACCTCCTACCCTGACGCGTCGATTAAGGAATTGGCCGTCTTCGGTTCGCGAGAGGGCGTCGCGGCCGTCACTTTTGCGGGTCCAGGTCCGTCGGTTTCGGTCCTTGGCCGTTTTCACTAAGTGGAGGTTTACTAAAGGGAGGTTTGTCCGCCGCCGAGTTAAGTCGGGCACGTCCCTCTGCAGGAGGAATACCCCCCAAATAGTCAAACAACTCGTCGGGACACGATTTTGGATCTATTTTTTTTGTTTTTTGTTGTTTGGGGGATTTCTTTTTTCAACTGAGTATGATAGACCTTCTACCCTGACGCGTCGACTAAGGAATTGGCCGTTTTCGGTTCGCGAGAGGGCGTCGCGGCCGTCACTTTTGCGGGTCCAGGTCCGTCGGGTTGGGTCTTAGGCCGTTTTCACGACGGGGAGGTTTGCTAAAGGGAGGTTTGTCCGCCGCCGAGTCAAGTCGGGCACGTCCCTCTACATGAGGAATATCCCCAAAACAGTCCAGCAAATCGTCGGGGCACGATTTTGGGACCATTCTTTTTTTTTCTGGCTGGGGGGATCTTCTTTATAAAGCTGTTTTTCACTGTTCGCCCAACATCCGCCTGCAGAGGGGGACACACCCGACCCAAAGGTGATGTGGAAGGCCACGTTCATCGAGGTGGGGGACGACGAGCGCCAGGGCTCGCTCAGCCCGCGGCCCCGCAGCGAGCCCTGCAGCGAGCCGCCCTCCCTCCGCGGCGCGTTCTTCGAGGCCGACCGCGTGCGCGTCGCTGCGCTGTCCCAGCGCATGGACGAGGTCTGGGCCTCGAACAGCCGGGCGACGATGCGACAGCTCCTGTCCGCAGACCCGGTCCTCGAGCCCCTGGGCGAGGGCCACGGCAAAGCCGGCGGATGCGATCGCGCCGTCCAGTACGAGAGCGAGTCGACGGGGATCGGCTGGGGCAGCCTCTCGGAGTGCGGCACCTCCGACGCGGCTTCGGCTCGCGAGACCAGGCCCCCGGCGACGCCACGCTGCGATCTCGCCGTGGCTCCCGCGACGCAGCGCAGCGGGGACGCGGTGGGCAGGAGAGGTCACGAGAAGGTTCAGGAGGGGAAGAAACACACAGACACAATTAATCCTCCATTCCCCAGAAAATATGGGAAACTATTGGAGTTGGGGGGGGGAGACAGAAACCCAGAAAATATACGAAAATATGGGGCATCATGTTATTTGTGTGTATTTATTTGTGTGTCCCAGGGCCCCTTCAAAGGTGATGTGGAAGGCCACGTTCATCGAGGTGGGCGGCGACGAGCGCCCGGGCTCGCTCAGCCCTCGGCCCTCCAGCGAGCCCTGCAGCGAGTCTGCCTCCTGCCGCGGCGAGTTCTTCGAGGCCGACCGCCTGCGCGCCTCTGCGCTGTCGCAGCACATGGAGGATCAGAGCCCCGAATCATCAGGGGTACCTCGGGTCAGGGTTAACTCGGGTTCGTTTTTCGGGAATCCGAACCCGAGTTATCCCGGACCCGAGTTACCCCGGATAAGTCGGGCGTCCAGGGCCCCGAATCATCAGGGGTAACTCGGGTCAGGGCTAACTCGGGTTCCTTTTTCGGGAATCCAAACCCGAGTTACCCCGGACCCGAGTTACCCCGGATAACTCGGGCGCCCAAGAGGAGGCCTGGGCCTCGAACGATCGGGAGGCGATGAGGAGCAGCCTCCAGAAGCGGCGCATGTCTGCAGCCGCGGATGCCATCCACCTCCTGCCGGAGCAGCTGATCAACGTGGTGCAGACCAAGGCGGAGAGCCTCGCCGACAGCGTGAAGATCGACCTGTCCCTGGTGCAGAAGGCCATCCGCCGCAGCGGCGGGGACGGCGACGCCGTCGACGTGGCCATCGACCAGCTGGACAAGATCCCAGGGATCATCAGGAGCTCCTTCGACTCGAAGATCGTGGATGCGAACGAGGCGATACGGACGAAGCTGAGTGCCATCATGCAGAAGTTCAAGGGCCGTGCCCCTGAGAGTCAAGAAGTGGTGACGCAGCTGTGGACCATCCCAGAGGAGCTCGAGCAGATCACCTGGGAGGCGGTTGACAAGGCCGTGCAAGAGTCCCAGCGCGAGGCGGCTAGTTGTTGCGACCGCGTCTTGCGGAGCTTGCCAGAGGACGCGGGATCAAGCCGCCGGGCGCTGAAAGACGCCAAATCTCAGATCGTGGAGTCGATGCCAGAGATGTACTCCGCGACGATGCGGGCCTTGAGGAGCACGACCAACGCGAACGTCAAGCACGCCGTTGCTTACGTGGACGACCCCAAGGACGTGCCTGTCACGAACCACTTAGTCGCAGACGTGCTTCTGAGGGCGAAGATGGGCCCCCTGCCGCACACGAACGGCGCGTCCCTGTACCAGCCTAGCCACTGCGCGGCTAGCTTGCTGGACTGCGTGAACGACGCCGGGGGCGACGGCTTTCTGGCGAACCACCGCAGCCAGTGGCAGGCTTATGATGTTCCAGCCTGCTTCCAGCCTTGATCACCACAAAGAACTTCGTGCACCAAGAAAGTACAGAAACTCGAGGGGCTTCACGTGTCGGGCCCTGGGAGGCGATATCCTCGTTCGACGCCGCTTCGATCATTTTTCTGGGTGCTCGAAATTCTTTCCGGGACATGGGCCTTGAGAGTACGACGGGAACAGCATACGTGGCAGGCCGGCCTCGCCTGCAGCGCCGCGTGCACCCGCCCGTCCAATCCCGGGAGCCTGGGCCACCCCGAGATGTGCGTCCGGCCGTGCCTCTACTTCTCGGGCCGGGCGAGAGGGGGGGATTGGGAAAGGGGGGGATTGCGAAATTTGCTGCATGCAGCCGGTCTCGGCCTCACCCAAGGGGCCCATTCCTCGATCCATGGCCGCCTCCGGCACAGGGAGGCGCCGGGAAAATCAGCTACGTGAGCTGATTCTCAAACCCCCCCTTTGCTATCTCCCCCTTTCGCCCGACCCGAACTTCGCGCGGGGCCAGTGCGCGAGCGGCGACGCGTGCAAGTTCTGCCACTGCCCGCACCCGACTCGGCCCGTGCACCTCGGGAGGTCGCACAGGAGTCGAAGAAGAAAAAAAACATAAATTTACACTTATCGCGCTCCGCACGGATTTCTTGGGACTTACACTTGCACTTACATTATCGCGCGCTAACCATTAACGCGCGCTAGCCACTTACGCTTTTCTTGGGATTTCTTATCGCGCGCTAACCATTAACTTACACTTACGCTTATCGCGCTCCGCTGGGCCCCCCCGGCGGCGCCTCTGGCGCCGCCCCTGGCGCGCTCCGCCTCGCCAGCGAGGGGGGTCTCAGCGCAGGTCCAAGAAAAATCTGCGCGGAGCGCGAACAGTTGACGTTTATGTTTTTTTGTTTCTCTTCTGAGGAAGGCTCTGGAGGCGACGACCGCGGCGGAGTGCTTCGGCATCTTGCTGCCCGTCCTCGAGAGGAAGATGCTCGCGCTGGGCCTGGCCACCGACGCGCTCCGGCTGCTGGCGGAGCAGCCGTGCGCCCGGCCGGGCGGGGCCCCCGCTGACGCCGGGGGCCAGGTCTCGGGGGCGGAAAAGATGGGGGTGATGACTAGGGGGGGGGATATCATGGCGGGGGTCATGATTTTTCCCCAGATTTCATGGCGCCTCTTCTTGTTTCATTACGTCCCTGGCCCCCCCGCTGGGCCGCGCACATGCCGCTGGTCATGATTTGCACCCCCCCCTCTTGGACACCCCCCTCTTGGCCGCTCCCGAAGGTCAAGGCCCGGGACCTGCGGACCCTGGAGAAGGCCTTCGGAGCCCTGTCCATGCGGTCGCTGCTGGTGGTGCTGCAGAGGAAGGTCCTGGCATCGCTCGGACGTGTGCATGTTTCTTTCGGCGAGGGCAATCGAGGAGCATCCTGGATCATGTGGCGGAAAAGCCACGCACGAAACCGCAAAAAGCACGGGGAATGGACGTCCGAGCGATGGCCAGAGGTCGGGACGCAGCGTTCGCGCGAGAAGGCCCTGCTGGACTCGCTGATTCAGGAGGTGCGCAGGGCTGGCTTCCTCGTGGACCTCGGGGAGGACATCCAGGAGGACGCTTGAGTTCGGCCGGCTCATTCTTGTCCTATTCCTGCTGTTCCCAACAGGCGCAGTGTCAGGCCTGAGGCTCAGAGGTCTGGAAGCGTTGCGGGTAAGCGCCAGCAGCGAGGCAACATGGGCCCAGCAGCGGCCAGGTGGCGCTCGCGCCGGGGCACTTTGTTTGTTTCTCTGTGGCCGGGCTGTGAAGCTCTTGCTCTTCTCCCCGCCACCTCCCTCGCAGCACAGTCTCACGACTTCGCGATGGGCTCCACGGCGTCCGGTCGGTCTTCACCCCGCCGGGCTGCAACCAATTTGTCTCCAACCTCCGTGCCAACTGCGGCGCCCCGCGTGGGGATGAGCTTTCCACGCGGACTACTCCTCGGAGAGGCCCAGGCGTGCGGCCGCCGGGGCGGTCAATCGGTCGATCCAGCAATCAGTCGAACATGCAACCCCGGGAGAGGACGGTGCCGCCAGGATCGACCTCGAACGCTCCTGCATCGCCGTGCTATCACTGTCTACCAAGCAGCGCGGCGCTTCACGGATATGTCCGTCTGTTGCTGCTCGAGCTGTTTTTTCTGCCCACTCTCCAGATGCCGTATGGTTTGTGAGTGAGAGCGTGGTTGAACATGTTTTTTAAACCCTCTGGGCTATGACACGCGTTATGTCCCCCCCCTCCCTCCTCCCCCCCCGCAACATGACGCCACCCCTCCCCCTTGCCTGGTGCGTTCCTGGCGCTGCCGCAGAGAGCGCGTGCAGCACAGTCTCGCAGCACGGTGCGGCCGCAGCGCCTGCGTCTCGCAGGCCATCTGTGGCGCTCGCAGTCTATTTGCTATGGTAGCGCCCGCAGGCTGTTGTGGTGTTCATGGGCTAGTGTGGCGTTCGCAGGTCCGTTGACTGTGCACTTGCAGGTTGCGGCAAGCGGTAATCTGGTGCTGGCACGGCAGCAGTAGGTGTAGTAGTGGCATTGGTGGCAGAACCCAGGGCATCGTCAGTAGATCCAGCAGTGGTAGCAAGGTTTGGAGGAGGAGAGAGGGTTGAGGGGGACGGGGTGGGAGTAGTCGTCATAATCGTCGTCGTGTTCGTCTTGAGCTTGTGATTATAGCTGAAATGTCTCGGCCATTCCTCCTCTCTCTCCCATCGTCGTCGGTGTCGTCGTCGTCGTCGTCGTCGTCGTCACTGCGGTGGCTTTCGGGCGGTTCTGGATGTTCTCATCGCCGCGGCCTCGCACAGCTCGAAGAACTGGCCAGAGTTGATCCCGATTGACCAGAGATTGGTCAGAGGATCGAGGTTCAGGTTTGAGGCGTTCGGCGCGGCCAGCAGGGCGTTTCTGCAAGAGGCCTGCGCCATTCCGCCATGCCGTCGTGGCGATCGCAGTGGGTTGTTCGCAGGCGCGCCGCGGTGCTCGCAAGCTACGGTGCTCGCAAACCCTATTCGTTGGGGAGGGGCTCCGTGTTCCTTGATTGTTCTACAGTTTGCCTTCTGTTTTCCTGAGGGTTTCCATGGGAAATCGAAGTTCAACTTATGGGAGAAAGGGGCCCCGTTCCTTATTTAGGGTTCCTTAGGTCAACGCCCCGACTGTAATGTGCGTGCTTGCAGGCACTCGTTGACCGCCTCCCGCCTCCTCCTTCGGTGCCGATGGGCGCCCCCGGACCTCTCCCAGAGCACAGGTCTACAACAGAACTGCAATCCATGCGGGACTGTGGTGTACATGAGCGCTGTGGTGCACGCAGGCATCGCGGTGCACGCAGGCGCTCCAGTGAACGCGGCTCCTGTTATCCTCCTCCTCCTCCTCCTCCTCCTCCTCCTCCTCCTCCTCTTCCTCCTCCTCCTCCCCTCCTTGTCCCCGATGCCCTACGTCCCTTTGGGCTGAGAGCGGCCGATGTGGTGCACGCAGGCGCTGTGGCGCACGCAATCAGCGTGGTGCACGCGGGCACTGTTTGTGCACAGCTTCGCCGTGGTGCACGCGGCTGCGGGGGTGCATGCTGCGGTGCGCACCGAGGTGCATGCTGTGGTGCGTGCAGGCGCTGCAGTGTTGGGGCCACACGGGGGGGGGGGGTCCGTTATGCCCGTCCACCCTCTGCCCCCCCTAACGCCCGCGAATGAAAAACTGTTCTCCTCCTCCTCCTCCTCCTCCTCCTCGTCCTTCTCCTCCTCCTCGTCCTTCTCCTCCTCCTCGTCCTTCTCCTCCTCCTCCTCCTCCTCCTCCTCTTCTCCTCCTCGTCCTCCTCCCGTTGTCCCCGATGCCCTACGTCCCCTTGGGCTGAGAGCGAGATCTGCCTGCGCATCTGTGGATCTGCCGAGCCAGCGGCCAAGGTATGCCGGTCTGCGGATCTGCTTCCCGAGAAGCTAGCTCGACCGATGCCGGCGGCTGCTGCTGTTGCAGAGGCCACGCCTGTGGAAGCAGATGTGTTCTATAATGCTCGACTTGAGCAGACCACTGTTGGATCTCACTGATTGTCCGACCAAATTAGCACTTACGTTCCGGCTATCTTTCGGTCTGGCCATGCCGGGCATCTCGGAAGATGCATGCCGTGGAATTGCTGCTGGTTTTGCCCATTTCATATGGAGTTTGACCCGGCGGTCAGGCCAACTTCAGGCATTCCAGAACATGCGTTTCGTGCGGCTGTCGCCGACCTGCCAGAAAGCAAAGAAATTGGACATGCTAGAGTTTTATCGCTATTTGATCGAAGACGCTCACGGTGAGACATTGTCACAGCCTTCCTCCGGAAATGCCTGCGTCTGCAGCCCCGCTTGTGGACTGCGAGGTCCCCCAGCTTTTAGGGAAGCCGCGGGGGGGGGGGATACTCCAGATTTCGTAATAAAGGGAGGGGGATCTCATTTCGGGGGGGGGTCTCTTCCAGGCTATCTTGGAGGGCCTGGGGGGTCTGGGGACGATGTTTTGGAGGGTTCTCCCACGGGGGAGGTCTGAAATGGCTTGTCTTGGAGGGTCCAGACCCCCTCCCTTTTATTACGAAATCTGGAGTATTTAAGGGACTCTGGGTCCGTCTTGGGGCTGCCTTGGGGCTCGTCTCTGGCCCTGTGGGCCTCAGGGGCCACCCTGCGGCTCTCTGGGGCCGTCTCTGGGCGCTCATGGGGCCGCCTGGCGTTTGTGCAGAGTGTCTCGGGGGCATCAAGTGGCCGTCTTGGAGATCTCTTGGGGCCATGTGTGTTCGTCTTCTGGCCCTCTTGGGCCGCCAGAGAACCTGAGGAGCTCTGTTTGGACCTGCCTGGGTCGTCTTTGGCAGTTATGGAGGGCTTCTGGGGCCGTCTCTGCCTCTTGGCTGTGCTGGCGAGATGTTCAAAGACATATTCGCCAGCGTGGCCCCTAGACGGCGTGCTCTAGCAATTCATAGTGTGCAGCATATTTGGTGTATTTAATGTTGTGCAGTCTACGATGTGCAACATGTGTTGTGCAATGTGTGCGGCGCGATCTATGTGGTGCAACTGATTTTAACAAACGAGTTGACACATCCCACGCTCTTGCAAACATCCCACCCACCCACCCGCAACTTTGCTTGCAAAACCCATGTGGTGACGATTGCGATGACTGTTTGGAGTTAGCTGGCCCATCTCTGCGGCCGCGCCAACCCAAGAGCGCGCGCAGCGGCCAGCTAGTTTGACGCGACCGACGCGGCCGCGGTGGCGCTGACTGCTGGGCACATCCCAGCTGGGCGACTACACCGACGACGTCTCCAACGACTTCGACGCCGACAACGACGACGACGACACTGACGACGACGACGCCGACGACGACGACGATGACAACGACGACGACGATGACGACGCCGACGACGACGACAATGACGACACCGACGACGACGACGTCAACGACGCCGACGACGACGACGACGACGGCGGCGACGACGACGACGCCGACGTCGACGACGACGAAGACGACGACGACGACGCCGACGCCGACGACGACGACGAATACGACGACGACGTCGCCAGCGAAGACGACGACGAGGGAGGAGGGAGGACGACGACGGCGACAACGGCGACAACGACGACAACGACGATGGAGGAGGGAGGACGGCGACGACGCGAGCGACGAAGAAGGAGGAAGGACGGCGACGCCGACGACGACAACGACGAGGGTGAGGGAGGACGACGACGACGACAACGACGACGACGACGACGGCGACGAAATAGGAGGGACGACGACGAGACGCCGACGACGGACGACGACGACGACCAGGGAGGAGGAGGAAGGACGACCACGGCGACAACGACGACGGAAACGACCACGACGCCGAAGAGGACGACGGCGACGAACACGAGGAAGGACAGAGGACGACGTAGGCGATGACGACGACAACGCGGGAGGAAAGAGGACGGCGACGGCGACGACGACGACGACGACGACGCAACAGCGCGCGCGCACGCTTTTGTTGAATATCAGTGTTGCGAAATCTTCCGAAACGGATGGGTTTGGAAGGGTGTCGGCATACGCGCGCGACGACGCGCGCGTCTGCACTTCGTCCCATTTGTTGCAGAGGATTCCCGCAACGGCACACGCGCAAAGGGCGTTCGACAGATTTCGACATGCGCCCGCGAAGCCCGTTTGGTAGTATTTGGTGAAATTCTTAAAACAACCGATGGTTTTCCTAAAATTTCGCAAGAGCTCGTGCGTAAGCTTTTTTTAGCAAAGCAGTGGTGCGAAACCCTGTGTGGTTGTATGTTTTTTTGTTTGGAAGCTCGATTGCGAAATCCTTCCCGCACCGAAGGTTTTTGAAGGAGTTCGGCATGCGCGCGCGACGGCGCGCGCGTGTGCACTTCGTTCCTTTTTGTTGCAAGGGATTCGTGAGCAGGTCTTATGTTCGAGCAAAGATGTCCCCGCGTTCCTCGCATATATATATATTATATATATATATATATATATATATATATATAGGTATATATGAATATTTTACATACCATTAAAACCATATTTTGGATGGACATGTGGTCATAATCATGTATGATTCACATACCCGAATGGGGGGCGGATGACGCTGGGGGGGGGGGGGGTAAATCCTATTGTGTTTTTTAGCAAGGAGAATTTACGTGGTGCACTTCATGTGGTACAACATGTGTGGTGCAATGTACAGTGCACCTTAGACGGTCCAATCTTTATTGTGTAACGTTTTATTGTGCAACGTATAGTTTGCAACTTGTGTGGTGCAATCAATATTCCCCAGCCAGTGCTTGTACTTAGGGGTTTGTTCTAAGCAGCTGGGCCTGAGTGACGGTGGGGCGGCTCCGTGTTCGCCGTCGCCGCCCCGTCGCCGCCTCTTCGCCGCCCGTTGTCTGGGGTTGGTTGTCGGTCAGGCGGCTCCGTGGTCGCCGTCCCCCCCCTCCCCCCCCCGGGATTTTCCGCCCGCTCTGTTGCATTGCAATGTGCCAGATTTGTTTGCCCCACCGTCCATCCTAAATATAGCATTCATGCTGTCCCAGTCCAACCGGTATTGACCCCCAGCCCCGCCACGTTCTGCAACAAATGCTGCGCGCGCGCCCGTTTATCGAAAATCCGTAGTTCCCAAGAGTCCTTTGCAACAACTGGGGCGAAGTGCACACGCGCGCCTAGTCGCGCGCGCATGCGGGAGTCTTTTCAAACAGCCGCAGGTTTCGGAGGGGTTGAGAAATCGAGTGTCCCGACAGCATGGAGAAGACACATGGTTTTCAGGAGGGGAAGAAACACACAGACACAATTAATCGTCGATCCCCCGGAAAATATGGGAAAATATGGGAAGTGGTGGGGAAGACAAAAACTCAGAAAATATGGGAAAATATGGGGAATATTTTTATTTGTGTGTATGTGGGCCTCTTCAGGTTTTCCAACATCAGTTTTCAAAAATGCCTGCGCTCGCGCTCCTGCGAATCCTTGCGAAAACCGTACGATGTTTCAAACATTGTCAATCCCTTCGGCCAAGCAGGCCTCCCGCGCCGCACGTCGAAATCATTCGAACGCCCTTGCGCGCGTGCTGGGGCGGGGGCACGAACAGTGTCAAATAACACCATGCGGGCCACTCTCGCGCGTCGGCCGCGCCCGCATGTCGAACTCCCTCCCGAACCTTTTATCACCGACGCGAGGGCGCCGTCATCGTCGTCGGCGTGGTTAGCATCGGCGCCGTCACTGGCCGTGCCGTCGCGGTTGTTATCACCATCGCCGACCTCGCTACCATCGTGATCGCGCCCACCGCGGCCGCCTGGGTCGCGCCGAACTATATGGCCGCTGCGCGCGCGAGCATGCGCAGGCTAGCGCAGCCGCAGAGACGCACGAACTTTGCGAATTATGTTGCGGGTGGGCGGGTGGCTAGCAGTGGGGTTGACAATTCATTGCGAGCGTTGGTGCATTCTCTTTTCCAGAAGAGTAACAGGATCGCCTCCCCTGGAGTTAACCGCTCCCCTTACTTCATCATGCAAGTTACACATGACTTTCCCCCATGGTCCATCCGAAATATGAACTCAAATCATCCCAGCCAAGCCGGTAACAGCTCCTTCCTTTCATCGTCTACCAGTCGTACTTTGCGCGCACATCCGTTTATCAAAGACCAGAAGTTTCCTAGAACCCTTGCAACATATGGGATGAAGTGCGCACGCGCGCGTTGCCGCGTGCGCATGCCGAAATCTTTTGTGCAAACAGTGGGTTTCGTAAGGGATTCAACTTCGAGTGTCCCGACTGCATCTAGAAACACATAGTTTTGCAACACGAAATTTCAAACACAAGTTTGCGCTTGCACTCTTGCGAATTCTTAAGGCACCGATGTGCCAAATGCGCCTTTCGCGCTACCACATGTGCTGTCGCGAAAACCCTATGCAAACAACTGGACGGAGTGCACACGCGCGCGTCGTCGCGCGCACATGCCGGTTTCCGTCAACAACCATGGGTACCGTAAGGATTTCAACATCGAGTACTCCGAAACATATAGAACGCACACGGTTTCGCAACATCAGTTTTCAAATCCAGCTGCGCTCGCGCTCTTGTGAATCCTATAGAAAACCATCGGCTCCTACCATTTTCGCTACCTTCGGCCAATCGGGCCTTCCACGACGCATGTCGACATCGTTCGAACGTCCTTGCGCGCGTGCTGTGGGACATGATTCCCATGCGGGCCACTCTCGCGCGTCGGCCGCGCGCGCATGTCGAACTTCTTCTACAACCTTCACCACCGACGCGAGGACGCTGTCGTCGCCATCGGCGTGAGCAGCATCGGCACCGTCAATGGCCGTGCCGTTACCTTTTCCATCATCGTCACCAACGTCGTTACCATCATCATCGTGCATCGTGTCTACCGTTTTCAGCGTTGCCATGATACCTCGCCCGCCCAAGTTGCCGAGTCGCACTGGAGTGCCCGCTGGGGAGTGCCCGGCGGTCAGCGCCACCGCGGCCGCGTCGGTCGCGCCGAGCTAGATGGCCGCTGCGCGCGCGAGCACGCGCGGACTAGAGCGACCGCAGAGATGCACCAGCCAACACCAAACACTTATCGCAATCGCCGCCATATGTGTTTTGCAGATCAAGTTTCGGGTGGGTGGGTGGGTGGGATGATTGCGCGGGGCGTGGAGTTGACAATTGCGAGTTCCACAAGTGAGCTGCACCACGTAGATGACTGCACAGAACGGGCACAGCTGATACTGCTAGAGAGACAAGCTGTTTGGGGTCCACGGCTGCTAACACATTCCAGCCTATGTGGTGCAATCTGTGCTGCGGTGCAGTATATGCGGTGCATTCTAATCGCTGCATTGTTGTGGTGCAGTCTAGGTTGTGCATTCTACGCAGTGCAATCCATGCAGTGCAGTCGATCTACGCGGTGCAATCCACGCAGTGTGTTCGATGTGATGCAATCGATGTGGTGCAACCTACGCAGTGCAACTTATTCGGTGTAAGCTATGCGGCAGCGGCGACGGGCGGCGACGTCGACAGCAGGCGCGGCGACCGCCAGCCAGGCCCATATGGAGCGGCGACGGGCGGCGGCGACGGGCGGCGACGGCGACAACAAGCATGGCGACCGCCAGCCAGGTCCAAATAGAGCGGCGACGGACGGCGGCGACGGGGAGGAGGAGGAGGAGGAGGAGGAGGAGGAGGAGGAGGGCGTCGACGGCGACCACATGGCTGCCAGACCGCCTGCCAAGTCCAGACGACGGGCGGCGACGAGGCGGCGACGGGGCGGCAACGGCGATGACATACATATCCGCCAGACGGCCAGCCAGGCCCAGTTCCCTTCAAGCAAGACGTTGGAACACCTAAGTGCAAACAACACGTTGGGGAAAGCGCACTGATCACGCTTTTTTTTATACCAAAATAAGCTCAAGGCAACAACAATTCAAGAAGAGAGGTAGAGAGAAAGAGAGAGAGAGAGAGAGCATGCATGCGGGCCTGCCCCGCGAACGTTCCATCACCGCCGCTGTGGGCAGAGAAGACAGAACAGCAGCGGCAAGCCAGGACCCTGAAAGCGCCGAAACGCTAGGATCACCGTGGGCCGAGCCTCAATACACTGCCGCCTGGCAGCGGCAGCTCACTTGAAGCGCGCCGAAAATTGACCTTAGCAGAGGCTTCAATCAGGAACTGGAGCCAGCATCCCTGCTCAGGCCCCCCTGCAGGTCGTCGTCGACGGCCGCTCCCGCGAGGTCATCCCGCAGGCGCAGCTCGAGCTGCTCCTGAACCTACGGGAGGTTACGCCTCTGGGCCTCAGGATCAGGAGCCACAAGCTCCGCCTCCTTCACGTGGTGCCAACCAGGCCTGTAGAGGTCCCGCTGCAGCACCATCTCCTTGCGCTCCTTCTTCCTCAACCGCTTCTCGTGGTTGCGCGCCGCCTTGGCCGCAGCCAGAACGGCAGGCGGGCCCGCTTCGTCGTCCGTGGGGACCTCCTGCTTGTCTATTGCGACGCTCAGGTACTCCAGGGCGGGGGCGGAGCCGCCGTCTGCACCAGCGCCTGCTGCTTTGGCGCCAGCGCTTCTTCTGGAGGGTCCCCGCCGACGGCGTCGGCGCCGTTTCCGCCACAGCCTGCCTCCAGGGAGGCAAACTCGAAGGCGGCGGCGGGGTCGGTGAGGCCGAGCGCACTGGAGCCAGCCCCAGTGCCTGAGCTGTCTCCTCCTGCCGCTTGCTGAGGACATCCAGCCCGCGGTGCAGGCGGAGCTGCTCCGCCGACGGCCCCTTCTGAGCCGACGTGCCGGCCCGCCGAGCCGCCTGCTGCTCCGACAGCTTCAGAGGTGGCGCCGCCTTGGCCGGCACGCACTCCTGCCGTGCCACCGGCTTCTCCCCTGCCGGCCTCGACTGCTGCTGCAGCGAGATGGCAGAGGGGGCGGTGGCAGCCGATTCTGCGCCATCCTCGCCATGCGGGCACTCGCCGCAATGGCACGGAACTTCGCCCTGATCTCCGCAGGGGTGGCCTCCGAGACAGGGGGGGAGGGGACCCTCGCCGAAGGGCTCCTCGATCGGCTCCTTGCCGACGCCTTGGGCTCCACACGGGCCGCCGAGGCACGGGAGGACCGCTCCTTCAAGAGCTCCTCGAACTGCTCCTTGCCGGTGCCCGTGATGACCCCTGCGGTGCCCGCACCTGCGCCGCCTGCTTTCGCACTGGCGAGCGGAGGCGGAGCCTCAGGGGTGATGGCGCCACGCACCCGCGGCTCGAGGACCGCCTTGCACTCGATCTGTTCCTCGGACTGGTGCTGGAAGAGGGCGAGGCCCTTGACTCCGTCCTCCGTGCTGACTGCTAGCACCTGCACCTCCTGCGACTCGAGGTCGGAGAGGGCGTCAGCCACAGCACGGAACGCCGCCGCAGCCACACCGATCTGCATGCGAATGGCTCCCGCGCCCGGAGCCGCTCTGAACCAACGCGCGCGGAAGGCCCAAGCCTCGCTTGAGCCCAGAACGGCTCAAGAACCGTGGGGAGGAGGAGGAGGAGGAGGAGGAGGAGGAGGAGGAGGAGGAGGAGGACGAGGAGGCGAGGAGGAGGAGGAGGAGGAGGAGGAGGAGGAGGAGGGGGAGGAGGAGGACGAGGAGGCGAGGAGGAGGAGGAGGAGGAGGAGGAGGAGGAGGAGGGGGAGGAGGGGGACGAGGGGGAGGAGGAGGGAGGAGGAGGGGCGGAGACCTCGGAGCGCCCAGGAGGCCTTTGCGGCCATCTCGGTGTCGCCCCGTCATGCGCCCGTGGGCACCCGAGTGCACGGAGGGGCAGTGATCGAGAGCTGCAGTGCCGTTTTGAATGCATGCTCCGCGTGCGGATCATGCACAGCCGAACCAAGGTATAAGATCGAGGTCTTTTCGGGGAGGGTACCCCAGTGTTCTTCGTGCTTGTTGGATGCTCTTTGTGCATCCTGGGGAGGGTACCCTTGGATGTTCTGTGTGGTTGGGCTGGCGGAGGGTCTCAAGTTCTTGAGGGATGTTCTTCTGTCCTAGGTCCGACCGTACAGTCGGGGCCCTGAAGAAGGAACGCTTCTCGTTGGGGAGGGGCTCCGCGTTCCTTGAGTGTTTCACAGCTCGCCTCAGGGTTTCCGATGTTCTCGACAGGAAATCGAGGTTGAACTTTATGGAAAAAAGGGGCCTCGTTCCTTATTCAGGGTTCCTTGGGTCAGCGCCCCGACTGTACATGCTCCGCGTGCGGATCGTGTGTTAAGCATGCAGGGATTTAGCATTAAAAACAGCGATGAGTTCATGCCTAACTTTATTCATAGATTAAGCATGTATTAGAAATCATGTTTT